GGGGGTACGCAAAATAATAATGACAAATTTCGAAAGCATCGAGAAAAAGCGGGGATTGTCTTTGAAAATGGTGTCTATAAAGCGGGGACGACTCTACACAAATAAATGAAATGGCTCGGTGGGGTCCGCAAGTCAATACTGGTAGAAATCAGGGACAGATATTCTGGAGTCCTCCACTCCCTCTGCGCGNCCCTTGGCGAGCAAAGGGGGTACGCAAAATAATAATGACAAATTTCGAAAGCATCGAGAAAAAGCGGGGATTGTCTTTGAAAATGGTGTCTATAAAGCGGGGACGACTCTACACAAATAAATGAAATGGCTCGGTGGGGTCCGCAAGTCAATACTGGTAGAAATCAGGGACAGATATTCTGGAGTCCTCCACTCCCTCTGCGCGCTATGCGAGGTAACAACTGAGGAGACTAGGATTCACCATCACGGGTCGGAGAGAATGAGGTACAGCCCCTTGGTTCAATCTTGGTACTTCACAACGCAAGCAGAGACAAGGCCATCTGGCACAGAAAACCAGAGAAAAAGAGAAAAAGAAAGAGAGAAGAAAATAAAAGGAAACAGTAAGGAAAGAGAAAATGAAAAAAAAAGAGCGAGGACAAAAAAAATGGACCAGGCCGAAAATAACAAGAAATAAGAGACAGAAAACAAAAAGCACACGGTGGAGAGACCACTAACAACAACGACAAGCAAACACGCAAACACGGCCATCAACCAGCGATACATTGTAATAATGGTGACCACGGGTTGGAGTAAACGGCACTACTACTAGTAGTGCTGTGAGCGCTGATTTGAAGTGAAGACCAAAAAAAAAAAGACACAAATCTGGAACGTTGCATTTGAGCCTTGCCTTCGCATATTTTTGTTGGAAACGATCTGGAGAACGGTCCGTCCAGTCAATTTTGCGACTAGTTTTACCACCTTTTCAGCTCTGTTGTTGATCTCGCCGCCGATCTACACCTCATCATCTCACATTCCCCCACACGCCCACACGACACTACTGCTGAAATAACGTGACAAATCATGGGCCCGAAGAAGCCACAAGAAGGACAGTCTACCGCCGACGCCCCGCCAGCCGGTGTGGTCGGCGGCGCAGCACTCGTTGGGGCAACGGCTGGTCTGTTGTTGTCGGGGCCTCTCGTCGCTATCGGGCTTGGCGCTGGAGCCGCAGCGTGCTGCCTAAGGAAAGACCAGGTATGGTGACGGTAGCGGACGGGAGGTTACTTCTGGATGTGCACACAACGCGTGGGGCTCCTTTGTCACTTGTGCTGTATCGGTGCTTTGTCAAAACTCGCATGGAAGTTCCGAGTTCGGCGGCGATGAGGCTGATTGACCGAACTTCAACTCTTGAGTGAAAAGACTTGCATACACAAGGCGCATTGAGAATCGTGTTGTCTATGTTGTGGAGAGTGAATACCACTGTAAGCGTCCAGGTACAGCAGTAGCTCAACACGTTTAGCATTCTACAGCGCTTGTTGAACGTAGCTTGGTGCTTTGATTTCGGGTGGGCAGATTTGACAAATAAATGCAGAAGTCTACATCGTAGACTAGTCGGCCGGAAAACGAAGAAAGGAGACCTGCTGTCCTCCGCGTATTGCTGCCGATAAAAAGAGAACTCCTGCGTAGCCTCGTAACGGGACCAGGCGAGATCAAGTTCTTCAGGGGTCCCTCGTGTTTGTAGGTGGCTCCTAAGATGCAAGATGACCGCTCTTTTTTGCCCTGCTTGCTTGGATACTGGACTTACCGCCGAATTTCGTTAACTTTCCGGTTTTAAATGGATAATAAGGACTACAATGGGTCGGAAGAGGCGGTGTTGGAACATTGGCGGGCAAGTTTTTGTTTGTGAAGACCACAACAGCGCCTCTCTATCTCTGTTTGTATTTAACAGGCTGGGGATGTGGCCAGGTCAACTGGCCAGGCCGGGTTAGCTGTGGTCGAGAAAGGAAAGGAGATCAACACGCAATACGGCGTCGCCGACAAGGTACCATTTCAATAGACGAAGATTGCTGTGTGCTACAGCAGTTGTTCTGATGGACGGCAGTGGGGGAGTGTTACGGATGGATGTACACCTCGAAGAGTTAGCGTGACGATCCCGTCGCGAACAGTACAGGGCGATGTCCGTTTGAGATTCCGAGTGTCTGGTGGATTCAACTCAACTGTAGAATCTTCGGAAACCGATTTTTTCGTGATCCAAATAAATTGCCGCGTTAATTTCTCTCTCTTCGCTACAAACTTCCTTCGAACACAGGTGAAGGGTGCCGCTCACAGCACGTTCGAGAGAGCGAAGGAGGTAAACGAAGAGCACAAAGTTGTGGACAAGGCAAAGACAGGGGTATCGCGAGCATGGGCAAGAATCAGGGAGGTGAGTGGACGGTTTAAGGCGCTGGTCCTACAAATTCTTGTTGCGACGTGGCACTCCCCGCGACGTTTCGGGCTGACTGTTGCCATGATCGCCGGGGCTTCGTCCAGACGCTACGTGTCCCGCGTTCGACGTGTCCGAATGCGAGCTTTGGGTGTGTACGCATTGCCAATCCCAGGTCCCGATCTTGAGTGCCGTGGGCAACAATGATCACCAAGCTGACTTTCGTCTTGCATGTGACCCCTCGAGGGCCGTATTGGCGTGAATCTCCATCTTAAACCACCCACGAGCAGATTTTCATTCACGAATTGAATTCGGGTTCAAAGTTTGAAAGTTTGTCGAGCGCGCCACGGTTCGTGAAACCCAAAGTCCAACATTTCGACCATCAGCACAAGATGGGCGGCAAGACTCCTGCAGTGATTCGTTTTTTGCCGAGGTTGCGCAAGCTCCACAACAGCTCGCAAAACAGGTCCGGGTGCAGATGTCCTTGAAGAGTCCCGTCTTAGAGTGCTTCTTGGTCTGGGACTGGGACCCAAACAACGGCTATTGGCAACGCCCACTGATACTGGTGGACTGCCGGTCTGCGCACCGATCTCTGACGAAAGGGGCCGTAGAGAGCACGGGATTTGACACGGATGGCCGCCTTGCTCTCGGTTTTAGTAGGTTCCGCTCAAACAACCAATCCTACAGTTTGCTGGGCATTGATTTGCACAAGGGTTGTGTGTGGGAGGTTGTAGAGCGAACATAGCTACTGAAGTCGTGAGGCATCAGCGGGTGTCGTTGATCCGTTGGTTATCGCGTCGTGTTTTCGCCATGTTTTGATGTGCGTTGAACCCTTACGAACGATCTCGATTCTCCTGAACCGGCGGAGGCGCAAGCGACGTGTTTCCCAACCGATATCATGCGTTTGTCTTGCCTTTGCGGTCCGTGAGACCAACACCCTCGTCAGCATCGTTGAGAATCGTTATTTCCAAAGTGATTCGGAACCACAACAATCCCCCGCCTTAGGACCTTGTCCCACCCCTGCCCCACACCTCGCACGATTCCCGTTTTTTCTTACCAGGTTGACAGAGAACACCGCCTTGCCTCCAGGGCAGGCGAGGCTTTCGGGGGAGCGATGGACCGTGTCACCAATGCCGTCTCGAAGAAGGATGATGGACAAGATGGGTGCGGGACCACGAAGAAGTAGGAAGGGCTGTGCCCCTCTCACCGCACATGGCTTTCGCATGTCCGGGGACAATGAATTTGAACGTGTGCGACGTGTGAGGAAGAGATCGTGGAAGAGAAAGAGGTGATTGTGTTGACGTCTGGAGCTCTTCTCGGTGGCGACCCGGTGACGTAGAGAGGTTTAACCTCACCTCGTTCTTTGACGAAGAGTGGGTCTTTCCTGGAGTACCGTTGCGGTTGAAAGCTAAGGTCGCGAAAGTCGCATGTGCGACATCATATGTTTGTGGCTTGCGTTTTTTGTGTCTTGGTTTGGTTCAAGTAGATATAGTCATTGCAGCAAAGTAAGCATCGCCTCGTAACCGTATGGACCCTGATGTGTAAATATGGGTCTGGTAGAGAGTAACGAAGGAGTTCAGCGAATGCCGGGACGCCTACTTATTGGTGAGGGTAGCGGTAGCGACCTATCACCCACTCGAGCATCGCATCCGGAAACATTTTGTGTCCATGCGGTGTTGTGATTGTGCTGTTGTTGGGTCACATAGAAAGCAGACTTGTAAACGTGTGTTGTTTCGACTGCAAGTAAGTACCGAAACACCGCCCAACCGCTGAAGAAGATTGAAATGGGAGCTGCCGCTCTGGCACAGCTGACGCCCCGTGTGTGATACCTGGCCGCCTGTTTTTGAACTGGCTGCGCGTCTCGATGTTGTCTCCGGCCGCAAAAAAACGGCCGGGGACTGCATGCATGCATACGCGTGCTGCCTGTAAGATGGAAACACAAAAGTTGGAGTGTTCCAGTTTTCGCATTTTGATGGGCATCCCTTACTTGCAGTAGCCAATTGGGGTTGGTGGCCTGGGGCCGGCGTACGCATGTTTTGCATGCCTTAGCGTGATCAGTGGGTCGGCTGCGGGGGGAGGTTCTGTGTAGAGCGTTTTGCGCAAGATGTACACAGGCCTAATAGGCCACGAGATGCCGCTCGTACGACGTATTACTGGTTTTGCAATATCAAGTGCAAGGTCCGCATGGACCACGAAAGCGCTCCGTTGTTGTACAAGCAACCAATACAGAAATGTCGAAAATGGGCCAATAAAAAAACTGCGGGCACGTTTATATCTCTCGGTAGTTTTTCACTTGCTGTGCCGTTGCATATAAGCCCCCCCCCTTCCACCAGTACGAGCCCATCACCAGCCTTCAAGTCCGACCACCGCCACCCACTGCCGTAGACTAAAAGCCAGCTAAATGGCCAAGGAGAAGTGAACAACCATAATACTTGCACGGGCAGGTTTAGTACAGTACAATACTGCCAGTATTTTCAGTATTGCAGTACCTTTGGCCATAATATACTGTACTGCACGCTTTAGTACAGCTTTCAATACTGGAATAAAAATACTGCACTCTCCAGTACAGCTCTCGATACTGGAATATACTGACAGTGCAG